GCTGCAACATAACCAAAAATGCCCAGTGACAATCACAGTCAAACATGATTCTCATAACTTCGAAAGGGCTTTCTGGAAATGAAGCTGTGATAGCACCTCCCTGGCCTGCTGCGCCCCACCTCTTTAAGGTTGATACTTTATTCCTTGGAAGTTGGGCCCGTTCTGGGTGTATTCCTCTCACCCCCTGCCAGTGTTCTGAGATCTGCTGGCTGACAGAGGTCTTCACTGTGGTGGTCTTTGTGTGATTTGGCATCCCAGGTTGTTGGGTTTGTTTTTTTCATGTTTTCTCAGTGATTATAAACTCGCTGAGTAAAAGCACACTGCCCTCGTTGTCTTCGTCTCTGCACCTCTCAGCTTTGGCACCCCCTCATGCCTAATATGCTTGTCCCCCAACTCCTCGAGGAGCCGAAGAGCCCTGGGGCTGCCTGGGGAGGCAGTGGGGGAAGGTGGATTGGGACCTAGACAGGGACGAATCCCGGGAAAGCTGCTTGGCCTGTTCAGAGGTTGAGCCCAGGCAGAGGAACAAAGTGAAAATCACTTGTGTCGTTCCAGAGGGACTGTCAGAGGAGCCCAAACAAACATGGACGGCCCCCAGGCTGCACCTCCACCTGCCCCAGCCTCACAGAGGCTGCGCCCCGTCAGTGACCTCACTCCTGCCTGCCGCTGTGCTCCCAGGGCCGCCCGTCTCAGAGCACCGCAGCTTCCTCGCCACCTCCAGCCGGGATTTGAAGTTTATTTTCTTAGTTTCTGCGTCGGGGCCCCCCCCACCCGCCGCCGGGTTTGGTGATTCACTAGAGGGGCTCACGGGACCCGCGTAGAGTCGTGCTATAATTGATTGCAGCGGAAGCAAAGCAGATCAGCCAAGGGAGAAGGCATGTGGGGTGAAGTCCAGAGGAGGCCAGGCAGGAGCTTCCAAGGGTCCTCTCCCAGGGGAGTCCCCCAGGACACACTTAATGCCCCCAGCAACAAGTCGCGACAACACACGGGAAATGTCTGTTGGGGAGCTCGTGAGAGACTCGGGGTGAGGGAAATCCGCTCATATGGGCAGTGGGTTTCTTAGGCCAAACTGAAGCAATTGCCAGGGCGTCTTCTGTTGGCCTTGCTGGGAGCTGGGAGTCGGCACACTTATGTAACCACGGTGTCATCTCCTGCATGAACCCGTGTGATCACGCTTTCCCATGGCATGTTGCCACCTTGTTCTGAGCCATGGATAAGGACTCGCCATGTTCTCGGCCATGCTCTCACCGCAGCTGTATTCCCTCGACAGCGAAGGAACCTGTCTCACCTGCGCGCTGCCGCCCGTCTGTTCTCTCACCTCCCGGAAGCCTGCTCCGGTGCACTCGCTAGCCACAGAGCCCGCTCCCCACGCTCAGTGCCCGGTTCTTTGTTGGGGCTGGCCATGTAGGCACCCACTGCCTGGCACGTTGCAGAATGCCCTACTGCGAGAAGGAAGGCAGGCGTTCAGCATGAGCTACGTTGTTAGCACACGCGGTTTAGGCCCAGTGAGTCATACTTACCAGGGAATAGCAGGAACCCTCCTGAAGTCTTAAGTTCCAGATGCCACCCAAGAGCCAACCTTGCAAGCAAGCCTTTTCTGAGAATAGCAGTCTCAGGCCTGCTGTGCTGAGTCTTTTCTTTTTTTTAATTTCAAAATGTTACAGGGGTACAAATGCTCACATATATTGCCTTTGCACAACCTGAGTTGGAGCGACAAGCGTGCCCCTCTCAGGCAGCGCGCACTGGAGATCAATTCCTGACCGTGCCAGGGAGAAGAATGCTGGTCCCGTGTCACCCACGAGGTGCCCCCAGTGGTTCGCTGTCCCTCTGCCTTGGGGCCCGTCCTGACGGGGCTGCCAGGCAAGTGGCAGCAGGGCGGGGCTGGCGGCAGGCAGGGAGCGTACAGTCCAAACACCCCTCAGTGCACTGCAGGACCCCAGAAAGGAAGTTCTGAGCCCCACTCCCTGTGGGAGCCTCTGTGTGGCAATTCAGTTGTCTCTCTCTAGCCGTGAGAGGGGTAGGGGGCGAGGAGAGAAAGAGTCTGGTAACGGAAGGTCCACCCTCTGGTCGTTTCCAGCCCCCTCTCTGCAATGCAGTCCGCCCAGAATGACCAGGCTCTGAAGTCACGCAGATCACCCCGGGACCCCTGGACTCCTGTGGCTCCTGCAGTCTGGGTCGGAGTGGAGAAACGTCTGTGTGGGAATGAGCAGGACGGAGCCTGGGGAGTGGAAGCCCCCAGGGGAGGACAGAGGTGCCTGGTAGTTACAGAAGCAACATGGCGCCTGCTGTCTGACGCGAGTCTGTAGGATGGGAGGCGCCCTGGGGAGGCGGGGAGCTTGGCGTTCCGTCCACGGGACGCTTCCTGCTCACTGGAGGCGGCAGTCTCTGGACTTGTGTGCGTAGGACTCTCTGGTTGATGGGGAGCACGCAGATGGCAGGCCGACCCAACCTAGAGGGTGGGTTGAGGGCCCTGGAGGCAGGAGGCGGCTGGGACCGGGAAGTGGGTTCGGGTAGATAGGCCGCGATCTGTCTCTTAGACGCCAGGTTCCCGTAGATGCGGGTCCGCTGCGCGGAGAACTCGGCTCCCCTCGCCTGCCCAGAGCGCGCCAAAGCAACTGCCAGGCTCTCCAAGGGCGGAGCCCGCTGCTGTCCCGTCAGCTCCTGTGCCCTGGTCCCGCTGACTTCCGGGGGCGAGGTGCCCCCTCCAAATTCCAGGGGTGCCCCCTCCAAATTCCAGCGAACGGTCCCAGGAAGCCACAGCTCAGTCCAGTCCCTCCCCAGCCCAGTGTTCCCGAGAGTGCACCGTGGCTACCGCTATTGTCCCTTCTCCACAGAGCCTGCTGTCTTGTGCCACAGCTTTGCGCCAACTCAGGCGTGTCCCTGTGTGAGCGGATGGGGAGGTCTGTGGGGGTGGTGGGTGTCCTGCTGTAGGTCGGGTGGCACTCCGGATCTCTTCTCTGTTGAATTCTTCCCGATCTCCGATCTTTGGGAATGTATCTCCCGTCACCGTTTTTCCTGCGCTGAGCGTCCACGCTGCTGCTCTGCAAATTCACAACGCTGTTTTTGGAGTGAGCAACCCGCCGCAGGCAGCTGTCGGTCTGCGTCCTTCACCTCCTTCCCCGGGAGCCGTGAGCTGGGAGGCCACGCTGGCCCACTGTCTTTCTCTGTGTCTTTCTCTGACTCTTTCCTGCCCAGTTTCTAAATTGCTCTCGCATGTTTGCTTAGAATTTTTCAACTTGGAGGTTCAGGTTTGCGTCACGTGATTTGAGTTGTAGTCTAGGTGGGCGTTGGTCTGTTGTCCCTCAGGGAGAAACCTTGGCCTGGATTGCTGGGTGTTTTGTGTCTGCGGCATTGTTTCCACTGTGCTGCCTGCCTGTAGGTTGTCACGTGTTTCTGACGACGGGCGGCTTTGCTGCTTGCCTCTGTCCTTTTATCAGCTCTGCCCCACCGCCCCTCTGGCCCTGCTCTGGTCGTCAGACTTTCCAGTCCTGAAGCTACCTACAGGCCCAGCAGGCTCGTGCACACACCTGCTGCGTTCCCAGAGAAGCTATAGATGCGCTTGTTAATGAACTGGCACTTAAAACCTGCCTCGCCATTTTGAAAACTGTCCCATGGAATCTTGCTTTGGGATTGAACCTGTTTGTTTGCCTTTCAGTTGTGCCCTTTTGTTTCTGTTTCTTTTCCTCATTGGTTTTCTGCTTTGAGTTTTAGTTGCCTGACTTCAAAAATCTCACAGTCACAACCATGCTTTGGGACTACTTTTTACTGTCACCTCCTTGTTTGTCTGGGCAGGTTCATTCCAGCTAACCTGCGTCTCTCCTACACGCTCGTGGCGCCATAGAGGTTGCAAAGCAGTGGTTCTGCATGGGGCTTCCTGGTTTCCTGAGGGCATCTCGATGGTGCTGGCCTCTGGCCTCGTTTACCTTTTATTGAACCACATGTTTCTCTTGCTTCCGGCCTGAACTGATGCACTTACACTTGCCTGTAAGGTGACCCAGTGGCCTATTTTTAGCCACACTGGCTATTCCATGGTCCTTGCTGAAGCTGTTGCCAAACTGTGCTGACATAGGGATTGACTTGCCACTGGCTGTACTTGAACTTGGGGGGCGTCTCTAAACACACTCCATACCTCGGGGTGGCTCCCGCAGCTGGCGTGGCCTGGTGAGGGGAGTTGCCCGTCCTGAATTGGCCTGAGTTGAGGGAGAGCTGACCAGAACACAGGAGAAGTAAATAACCGTCTTGTCCGGTAGGATGTGAGGGTGAGGAGAAGTTTACGGAGGTAGCGAGCTCATTCCAGTCCTCGGTATGCAGGCAGAGGACTGTGCAAATAGGGCATCCGTTGTTATTTCGTACTTTAGGTAGCCACAGTGGTGTGTCTAGTTGCCTTTCAATTTTTTTTATTGTGATAAAATTTACCATTTTAACCATTTTTAAGTGTACAGTTCAATGACTGAGTCTTGTCACTAAGCCCTGGGGACAGGAGTCTTTGCCACGATTATAAAAGTCTTACTTGTTGCTGATTTAAGGGCTGCGGGGGCCGCTCCAGCTCTGAGGAGAAAGGATGGTGGCCCCGTGGCGGGCGCTCTGTGAACGGGTGGCTAGTGCCGCTGAGAAACTGGATTTCTGATTTTGCTTAATTCCAACAGCACATGGGCTCGGTGTCAGAGTACAGGGAAGGGGTTTTAGAGCGTGGCCTTCAGAACCTTGATTCAGATCCCAGCTCTGCCGTCTACCTGTAGTGTGACCCTGGAGATGCTTCTTAACTTTCTAAGGTGGTTTTGAGAATTTGCTGTATTCCACAAAAAGGGCTGAGAACAGTAGAACAGCGTCTGGCAAGGAATGTGTGTTCGGTTAATACGGGCTCATCATTATGTTTGTTCAATATTTGGAATGGCATGGTGATAGAATTCATGTGGGATATGAAATTCTACTGTTTTCTTCTTCTATTTTTACGTTTTATGTTTTCTTTCTTTTAAAAATAAATTATTCTTTCGTTGCTCTAGGTTGCTGCAGCAACTGGCCACATGGTAGTGTTGGTAGACCAAACCGAGGACATCCTGGCAAAATCCAGACGGGGAATTGAGGACAGCCTTAGGAGAGTGGCAAAGAAGAAGTTTGCAGAAAACCCTAAGGTGACGTCCTATGACCAGTGACTTTTAGACCAGTCCTCTGTCTGCTTCACATTCAGTGGGGGTCGGGGGTTCTGGCCTTTGTTTTCTTTCTTCTTCTAGTTCGTTTGTGTAAAGCTCATTTCCCCATAACTTTAATATAATAACATAATCACTAAACATTGGGGGCGGGGGGTGCTGATGAGAAAACAGGAGAAGTTAACCATATTGTTCGGTAGGATTTGAGGTTGAGGAGAAAGTTTCTGCAGGTGGTAAACTCATTCTAGAAGAACACTGAGAATTTGGAATTGAAGAACTCTGGTTTTGCTAAAAGGATGGAAGAGGGAGAAACAGGAAGATAATTTTTGTGCTTGTGAGTTAAAAAGAATAATGTAATAAATGCTGTATTTAGGTAGAAACTTTTGATTGCTTAGATAATATCTTCTTCCTGTTTCTGATAAACTGGAGTGGAAAATAGAGGGCGAATCATTCTCACTTTCCAGGAGCAGAAGAGAGAAGAATTTGAGAAGCTCTTAGGAGGTTGGGAACTTTGGTTTGCTGATTTTTTTGTCGGATCTGGCTGCTTTTCCAGTGACTTTCACTTAGGAGTTTGTATTTAATTAGAAATACTGCGCACTTATCCAAGTGAACTTCTGTTTACTTTTGTGCCCTTGTTAAAGTTGCTTAAGATGGGTTTCCTTGGGGCTTGGATGGATTTTCTCTGTATACAGGCAGGGAAGTGTGTAAATAGGGCTTTTGTTGCTTTTTACCTCTGGTATCCACAGTGGTGTGTCTAGTTGCCTTTTTAAATTTTTTATTTATAAATATAGATAGCATAAAATTTGCCATTTTAACCATTTTTAAGTACATAACTCAGTGAATTAATTAGATTCACACATTTCACGTAAGTGGAATACAGTATTTACTCTTTTATGTCTGACCTTTCACTTGGCACAAAGTTTTCCAAGTTCATCGTGTCGTAGCATGTGCCACTCCATTCCTTTCACAGCTGCGTGACGTTCCGTTTATGCGTGAACCACTTTTGGTTTATGTTAGGGTAGAAAGCCTGGCAGGTGCTCACGGTGTGGGTGGAGAAAGATTTCTCATGCAGAAATTATGATATAACAGTTTAAAAAGTTTATCTTCTTAGAGGAGAGAGAGAGAGAGAGAAGGGAAGGTGGGGAGCAGGGAGACAGGGTGGCCTCCCGCAGAAAGAGAAGGGAGGGCCAGCAGCCAGAGGACAGAGAGAAAGGAGGAGAAAACAGTAATTGTTGTGCAGTAATTAGCAGACAGAGGCTTGTTTTCTCCTTTCCTGGAGAAGTTATCGCCGAGCTAGTCAGGCTTATCGCAGGGGGTGTGATTTTGCCCCTGAGATACGGTTTTGGTCAGGAAACTGAGGCCTGGAGTTTGTCCCCCTGCTGTCTGTCCTGGAGCTTCTCAGGAACACCTTGGGGCCGTAAAACAAATTCTAAAAGCAGTTTCTGGTGAATGTAAAAAGGGAGACTTACATTTGCTTTTCGTCTTTGGCTCTTTTCAGATGTTTGTGAGAACAGAGTTAGTCGCTGCAGGGGCCAGCCAGCTAGGGAGAGAAAGAGTAGGCAGGGTAGGGAGAGCTGAAGATCGATCTTTAGCTGCTTTTAGAAAATTGCTGGATTATATAGTTTCCTGTTATTGCAGCAAGGCCGCCCTTTCCGTTTATCCATTCATTTGTTAATGGAATTGGGTCGTTTTCACATTTTGGTTATTGTGAATAACGTGTAGTGAACACACGTATACCATTGGTTTGAGTCCTGGTTTTCAGTTCTTTGGAGTACATACCTAGAAGTGGAATTGCTGCCTTGTGTAGTCATCCTGTGTTTACCCCTTTGAAGAACCGACAACCTGTTTTCCCTAGTGACTATGCATTTTGCATTCCCACCAGCAGTGGGTTCCAGTTTCTCCACATCCTGGCCAACACTTGCTATTTTCTGTTCTGTTTTGTTTTTTTCCTATTGTAGTCATCTTAGGTGAGAAGTAGTATCTCATTGTGGTTTTGGTTTGCATTTTTCCTGATGTTTACTCACCTTTTAAAAACCAGATGGGTGGGAGCAGAGATAGCTTTATGCTCTCATTGATGAAATCCAAAGAATAAATATCAAGATAAATATATATTTTTTTTGAGACAGAGTCTTGCTCTGTTGCCCGGGCTAGAGTGCTGTGGCGTCAGCCTGGCTCACAGCAACCTCAAACTCCTGGGCTCAAGCGATCCTCCTGCCTCAGCCTCCCGAGTAGCTGGGACTACAGGCATGCGCCACCATGCCCGGCTAATTTTTCTGTTTTCAGTAAAGACGGGGTCTCGCTCTTGCTCAGGCTGGTCTCAAACTCCTGAGCTCAAACGATCTCCCACCTTGGCCTCGGATTACAGCAAGATAAATATTAAGATCTCCTTCACCAGTCACTGTGTTTTTAATCACAGGGTGGGGGGACCCCATACGGGGGAGGAGGGTGTAATGATGAGGGTGCGGGTGGAGTGGATCGTAAGAGGCCTGGAGTCAAGGACAGAGTGAGTCTGAACCGGACAGCCTGCATTTCCTCTAGTTTACTGTGCAAACTCCAGCCCTCTCCTTGGGCCGAGGCTCTGAGCCACGCCCTGAAGGTGAAAAGGTGGCCCCAGTGCCCAAGTTGCTCAGCTGCTGACTGGCAGCTCCTTAGGAGTCTCCCGGCTGTTTCTGTCCCCTGCCAGGACACCGTGGCAGAGGGAGGCGTCAGTTTCCCTTTGCCGGGCTCTGTGCTGACAGTACGATTGCCACGCGTGTCATTTGAGCACTCAAAATGTGGGTAGTCCGCATACCAATGCACTCTCAGTTAAAATAGACTCCAGATTTTAAAGACTTAATAGAAAAAAAGAATATGAAACATCTCAATATTTTTTAATATTGGTTACATGTTAATGTGATAGTGTCTTAGATATATTGGGTTGAATAAAAATTTCACCTATTAATGTCTTTACTTTTTTTAATGTAGATGATAGAAAAATTAAAATTACCTATCATCTCACATTCTATTTCTGTTTAACAGCTCAGATCTAGTTACCTATTCCATGATGATTTTGGATGCCTTTACTGATTAAGACTGTTCTGATGCCCTGTGGACAAATTACCTCTTGAAGTAAAATGGCAGCTTATGGCGGCACCGTCTCTGTGTCTGCCCCGAGGTCTGTGTGTGGACCTGGCGTCACAGGAGGAGATGAGGAAGAGACAGAACTGCAGGCTCTTTGAGAGCAGGGCTGTGTCTAGCTTGTGTTTGAAACCCCAGCTGCTGGCGTGACGAGCAGTTATTATGTGCTGAACGACTGCGCAGCTCAGCTGCCCCTCCCCGGCTCTTGCCTTCCCCGCTAGCCTCTGCCTCCTGCCCGAGAGGAGCGGCAGCACCACCCCTGAGACTGCTGTGTGGTGCTGAGCTCAGCTCCTGCCCTTGTCTTGAGAGACAGATTCTAGGCTTCGTGGACACTCAGGGACCCCGAAACAGGTGCTGCGAACAGTGTGGGAACCCAAGCAGAGATAGCTAAGACCTTGAGAAACCACACAGCTGGGATTGTGCACAGGCAGGCTCTTGCCCTGAAGTCTGCAGGTACACTGGGATGTCATCCTCCCTAAGCAGAAACGGAGGGAGTTTTGTTTCTCAGAATTTCAGAGTGCGTCGAAGTTGTGTCTGGGTGTGTTGGTCTCTCCTGCCCTCCTCTTTCCTTATGCCTGAGCAGCAGGTCACACACAGTTTCCGGCGAGCCGGTGAACGCTCTCTCCTTCCTCCCACTGCATTAGGCTGGCGACGAATTTGTGGAGAAGACCCTGAGCAGCATATCAACCAGCACGGATGCCGCAGCCGTGGTGCACAGCTCGGACCTGGTGGTGGAGGCCATCGTAGAGAACCTGACGGTGAAGAACGAGCTCTTCAAAAGGCTGGACAAGTTTGCCGCTGAGTACGTGATCCCTGGACATCCTCGTCGGGGTCTGAGGGCTCTCTCCCCGGGCCGTGAGCTTTCCTCCTTGCTGTTGCCTTCTTCCAGGAAGGAATCTTCTGACCAAGCCCCTGGACCTCTCTTTCTACTGCCCCACAGCTGTTTCCAGCAGAGCCAGTAGTGTTGCCGTTGTTCTCCATCCCCCACTCCCAGTTTGCTCCCTGCGGCTTGAGCTGCCCTAATCTGATCCCTGTCCCCAGGGAGGGTGGAATTACCCATGGCAAAATGGTGGGGTCCATCCAGGGACAGGCCTGTTTGTTTCTCGCAGCGTGTTGGTTGGGGGCCTCCCGTGCCCGAGAATGGAGGAGGCTTGGGTATGGGCTTAAATGTCTGCTGAGGAAGCTCAGAGCAATCTCCTGTCTCCCCCTGTTTTGGGTGGGGCAAACAGAATGAGATAATTGGGAGTGCCGCTCTGTTTATGCAAAGTTCCCCAGAACTCTCCTCTTTTGAGCTTTGTCTGTGTTCAATCCAAACACTCTAAGGAGCATTGAATTCTTACCAGGATTCCTGGCAGAGGGTGGCAGAGGAGGGCCAACCACCCTAGGTCAGGCGTAGGGTGCCCAGGCCTTGGCATTATCTGTGCAGTGTCAACAAGCTCGTGCTCACATGGTGCTCTACTGCCCCTCAAAATCCAGAGTCTTCGACTGTGTTTCACTCTTGGCTTTTGGTGATTGTGACGCCTGACCGATGCTTCTTGGGATTTGCCTGGCCACATTTGACCCTTGGTTGGACCCGAATGACAGAATAAGATTATATGACAGAAGTCATTCTCAGGGAGCCACCATTGAGCAGTGGCTAAAGAGAGACACTTGCATACCAGCCTGCTGGAATGTCAACCCTCAGAGCTATGTGGCCCAGTGGCGGGAGAGGCCCTACCCCTAACAAAGAGAAGAGATTTGTCTTTCCGTGGTCCGTGTGGCACTCTGCTGGTCGGTGTGCTCATGCGTTTCACGTTGGCATTTAGGGGCTGCAGGAACATCTGACAGAAACAGAAGACACTTTCACTATCCCTGCTGGCTGCCAAGTCGGCAGGGAGCCCTCCAAGATAATAAAACACCCGCTCCAGGAAGGGGAGTTCTATCAAGCAGTTTATCACCTTTATTGAAAGGGTGGTAATTGCTAGGGACAGTGAAGGACCCGCCTGCCCCCTGGCGGCAGTGTCGGGTAGCAGAAGGGCCGTCGAGGGCCTGGGGCCAGCCCTCCACCACTTCTCTCTCTCACCCTGGAGAAATCCTCAGTTACACCGTCTGTAATGTGAGTTTAGGGTAAGTAACTTCTAAGACCTTCCCAGTTCTAACTGCCCGAGACCAGTTTTCCTGTGTAAAGTGGCGTTCGTGTGCCCACTGTACAGAATTGTTCAGGGAACTAACTGAATTCAGCTCACCTTTCCTGGGGCCTGCCGTGTATCGGGCACTGTCCTAGGCTGTTCCACCTGAGTTGCTGCGAAACACGACACGTGACAGGAAAGGGCATGACCCATGGTAGGTACTCGGAAGACGTGACTTTGCTTCTGGCCTTCAGCCGTGCCTCTCTGCACTGTTTTCATCGTAGATCCCCGCTGTCAACGAACGCGTGTGGAGTTTTCTTTTTAGCTGCTTTATTGAGATACGCTTTACCACCAATTTTACAGTTAGAGCCTGTCCTGGGAGAAGAAAATTTATTCAGGTGGTAAAGTTTCCATTGGAAGCCCCGGTGAAACAGCTGGGCCCTGGAAAGAGCAAGACCTCTCTAGCAGCCGTGTAGGAAGCGCAAGCCGGAAGCTTGACCAAGGCCCACAGGCAGCCGCAGCCGAGTCCTGCCCTTCCCCTCTCGGCAGAGCACGACCTCTCCGATCCTTTGCTCTCCCCACCACCCCCCTTTCTTCTCGGTATTAGGGCCTGGGGCCTTGGGGGGTTGCCAGTGATCATCATGCCTGTGGTGTAGATTTTCTTTTAGTACGTTTAAGAGAAAAATAGTTTGTTTGGTACGTAAGTGCCAGAAAAACAAAAGATGGTCCAAGAGAGTCAGGGGTTTCCAGGAAAATATAAAAGCATGGGTTTTTTGGAAGATAAGACAATCTTGTGTGTTTAACATGTAAACACATCATGTGTGTCTTGCAAGAGGGCAGTGCGGCACCTGTTGGGAGCAGCGCCAGCCTGACCTGGTTTGGAGAGGTGGAGGCGGAGGCGGAGGTCTGCTGGGGACAGATCCTCCTCCTGGTAAAACGTGCCGGGAGTGCCGCGGACTGCAGACCCCCGGGCCTGGACTCTGACGTCGCTTCACTGTTTTACCAAGTGTGCCTGAGTTTCCCCTTCAGCAGCCAGTGGCCCTTCGCATGTCCCATGCAAAGGTGCCATGTTGCAATTGTAGTATGATACTAATGCTGGAGACGCCTCTTTCTGAAGGGGACTGTGGAGCCGTGGCTGGCGCAGCCTTGGGCCCGGGCTGTCGTGGGGCAGGCCGGTAGAGCGCTTGTGTCAGCCACGAACATTGCTCCTGGCAGAGGGTCTTTTTTCGTTACCTTCTGCAAGGTGGCATGGTTTACATTATTTCTCCATTAGCCAAAAAGCAAGAAACTTTAAAAACTAAAATTTTAAAACCTTAAAAATAGGTCTTTTTTTTTTTTTTTTTTTTTTCAAAAAAAAAAAAAAAAAAAAAAAACTTTAAAAACTAAAATTTTAAAACCTTAAAAATAGGTCTTTTTTTTTTTTTTTAAAAAAAGGAACAGCTCCCCTGCCTGGCCTTTCCATGGCCTGCCTCGGACGGCTGTGCTGCGCCTTGAAGGGGGGCTCTCGGCCCCCCACCCACACTGGCCTCGCCTGTCGCCCTCCTCCCTCCTCCTAAATTACTGGTTTCTCCTCTTTGCCGCTCTGGCCTCCTCGCACCTGCCCCTGATTTCAGGCAGATGGCAGTATTGCCTTTTAGCGAAGCCGGCACCCTGATCTGGGCAGTGAGGGACCCCTGCCCTGCCTGCCTCTGCCCAGCCCTTGTTCGCAGTGAGCAGCGGGTGGGTTTGTGCTCTTGCATCCACAAGGGGGCGCTATAGGAAAGCCTGGGAGCCGGCCTTACAGACCACATGACGCCTTTGGCAGCCCACTGTGCTGGGGTCTTAAAAAATTAAATCTGGGTTAAGTCAGTACGGACTTTTAAAAATTAATAACATATTATGCACACAAAATAAGATGGCAGTGCTTTTCGAGGGGATTTGTGAGCAGAATGCCTTGCGCTTGTATCATGCATGTGCCTATATCCTCCCCCCCAAATCTACCCGTGTAACCTGCAAACTTCTTCGGACCATGTTGGTTTTTTTCTGTTTTCATTTTAATTCCCATCCAGTGGAACCGTGACGCTTTTCACTTAAGGGAAAAGGCCTTAATATCTATTGTCAGATGTTTCTGGTTGAGGATTAGGGTGTGTTTAGTTTTTTGTTGGTTTTAGGTGTCTGAGATGCACCCTTCCTTCTGTTAGTCATTGATCACTCAGAGTGTCACTCTGTGACTCGGGTTGGTTAAGCAGCTTGATTAGCCACTTCCTTTTATTCTCACCTACCATGAGAGTTAACCAATGTAAGTAGACAGGAGACATGTTGTTCCCCACAGTTACGAGGATTGGTGAAGGGTAAATATACCTTTGGAACAGGTAATTCCAATTTTACTTAGTTTAAAATTTCAATGTTTAAATAAAGGTCCCTTGATCTCAGCCTCTCGTATGAAGAGGTGTCTTTTCCCCGACTTCCTCTGCGGGACCGGACGACAGATCGGCCGCGAGCATCGCACCCGCAGTAGTGCGGGGCCGACTGTTTCCAAACACGAGACTCGTTCTGATGTGCCGCCATTTTCTCTCTCCGCAGACACACGATCTTTGCCAGCAACACCTCCTCCCTGCAGATCACAAGCATAGCCAACGCCACCACCAGACAAGACCGATTTGGCGGCCTCCACTTCTTCAACCCGGTGCCCGTGATGAAGCTGGTGGAGGTCAGTGTGTGTCTGCCCGCTCTGCCGGCTTTCCCGTCCTGCCTTTCCGAGTCACACCGGCCCTGCCACTGGGGATTGCATCGCGTGGGTTTTAGCAGGAGGGCAGAAGGCTGTCCCCGTGCTGCTTTCTCTTGCCCTGGTGTGTCCTTTTCAGAGCCAAGGGATGACAGAAGCCCCAATATCTAGGAAGCTCCCTGTGCTTTGTTTCTTCGCGGCCCTGTGTTTTGGCCCGTGACTTCGGGAGGGCTGTTAACTTTTTGGAGTGTCGCGTACTTGTTGGGGCCCGGCCTGGTGGGCGGTGCCGAGAGGCATCAGAGCGGGAAGGCAGCGTTAGAGACCACTGGCTTGACGGGACCACAGGGGGAGACCTGCACGTGTTCTCATTGTCTTGTTGAGGTCAGCTTGCCCCACGCTGTGAGTGGAACCTTCTCAGACCCACGGCACTACCTGGTTCGCCGTTCTCTCGGCAGATTCTGACCCCGCGTAGCGGCGCCTTAGCCCTGTCCCCAGGTGAGGCGTCTCTCCTGTGTGCTGTGATCAGACCTACTGAAAGCGGCTTCCGGTAGCTTTGACCCTCCTGGTCAC